TGATAACGAAAATATGTGCGCAACTGCTGACCTTTTACTCTGTGTTACAAAATCATTGGTTAAGTGCTGCGCGGGCTTTTGCTATAACGGCAGGTAGTGGTCTATATAAGATTTCCCCTAAAGAGGCTCAGGGTCGTGTTTTCCTAACCGGTCCTGCGTGTCCGTGTGGGAGCTCGACCCTGGCTAGCCAGCCCAATAAACTCTGCTTTGTTGATTGCATTCATGCCTGGCTCTCTGTCTCTCAGGGGAATAGGATTCCCGTTCCTAACAGTACAAGACCAAATTCAACCTCAAATTAGGGGGTTTTGCGTCTCCCAGAAGTAGAAAAAGGCCTCTCACAAGGGCAAAGGCAGGGTGATACAGACCACAAGGCTTTTTGCATCTAACTTCCGTGTGTTGGCAGGAATAGCTTCCTGATTTGGACCAACAGAGTTTGTGGCATGGATGGATAGTAGCCTTACTCTTAGGGACTCAGAGACCCTTCCCCCACAGCAAAATGACTGCACCCTCCCTACCAGTCCCTGCAGTCTGGAGCACGGGTGAGGGGAGCAGAGCCCTTCTGAGGAGGCTCCTAAGCATGGAGGACAAGGCAACTCACCGGGTTGTACCTTGCAGTAGAGTCTGCTGCCCTTCACTGGAGTCCCACCTTTTCCTCCTCTGGAAGAAGGCTAGAACCCGGCTCAGGAGCCTCAGCATGGTGCTGGCACCTGTGCCCTTGCAGCTGAAGCACAAGGCCCCTGCTGTCTAAACGCCCTCAGGTCATGGACCCCAGCCTGTTTGGATCCACCAGTCTGTCTGCAGCTCTTCCTGAGTCCCTCTGAGAAGGGACTTGGGACCAGACAGCTAGGAGCACCTCACAGGACTTCCCCCATTAACCTTAAGTGCCCTCTCCTGAGAGGCAGGGCACAGGCTGCCCCTTTCCTCTGACCAGTGCTCACGTGGTCACCTATGGCCAATAAGAGATACAGGCAGGGAAATATAGCTCCTCCCATCAAAGCTGAGGGCATCAACAGCAAGGTCTCTAGAAAATGGCTTGGGGAATGAACCCCTGGTGTGCTCAGGCTGTTTTTTTTGGGGGGGTGGGCATTGGGGATTTTCTGGGAAAGCAGAGGTCTGGGTTGGGAGGTGTGGCAGAGCCTGCCCCAGGCTGTATAAACAAAACTCCAGCATGATGCTCAGCATGAGGACCAGCCACACGGTGGGTGCTCACTACTCTTCAGGAGGGCTCTTATGGCGTCCTGTGGGCGGATCACATTTTAGGGACGTTGAGTACCTGTCTTTTGTACTAGGACTCCCTTTATAGACCCTACTAGTAATTTATCACAGAATTATTTGATGATCGTCGCTATCACTTATCCATTGTTATTACGCCAGTCACTCTGCTGTATTACTCACTTAGTAAATACTTGTTGGCTACTGACTATGAACCAGAGACACAGCTCTGGGCACTTGGAATTAGAGAATAAAGCCGGAAATTAGCTTGGTCCTGCAGTGGCAATTTTTGCACAGCAGGTGGGGGAGGGTGGGAAGCACAGCCTCTCTGAAGGGAGAAAAGCATCACCACTAGTGACATACTTGGTATGTTGAAAGATAATGAACACAAGGGAACCATGACAGAGTGAGGAGTTCCAGGGGCTGCAGAGGGAGCTGGATTGCATTTTCAAATAGTGTGTCAGGGTAGGCATCCTTAGCGAGCAACAGAAAGAGGTCTTGCTTTAGCCAGGAGCCGTGTGGAGGAGGAACGCTCTGGAAATACGGAGCAGCCTGTGCACAGAATGTGAGGAGAGAGTTGTCTGATGCGTTCAAGGAAAAGCTGAGTGAGTGCAGCAGAGGAAGTGAGAGGTAGAAGAGTGGGAAATGTGAAGGTGGAGGCCGGCTGTAGGGAACCAGGCTGTGTAGGACACCGTAAGTTCTTTGGCTTTTCCTGTACATGATGTGTAAAGTCCCAGAAGGATTTGGAGTCCTAGAGGGGTCCCTCTGGCTCTTGGTGGAGAGAAGGCTCTAGGGGGTCCGAAACATGGAGCCAGGAGCCCTACTGGGAGGGACCTGCTGTTGCCTATGACTGCTGTGCGTCAAATCTGTAGGTCGCGTTTCTGCTGCAGGGAGAAGAGGACTCACAGGTGCAAACAGTGATCATCTGGTTGAGGCGTTGGAAAGGGAGGGGGCCCGATAACCAGGTGAGAGCGGAGCAGGACACCATGTGAGGTCCACAGGGAGGGGCTGAGGTGCCCTAGGCAATGGGTTGGAAGTGTCCTCTGATCACTGTAGGGGATCACTGAGGGTTGAAGGCATGGATTTGGAAGCAGTAGGTCACTTGGTGAGCAAAAAGAGGGTGGCCTGTGCTTTCAACAGGTGTCAGCATGAAAAACGTGAGAGAGGTGGTATTGGTAACAGCTACGACTTTAGAGCATATGCTTGGTGCTGGGCACTGTTCTCAGCCGATTACGTGTGAAAATAACGTAAGAGTGGGCTTATTATTGTTTCTTTTTTGGTAAATGAGGCCCCTTGTCTAAGGCAGAAATGGGATTTTTGGCCCCAACATCCTGTCTCTGTCACTGGTGCCCATAAGTACAGTACCACACTTAGTGGCCTGAGCCTGGCTACCTGTTCAGTGTAGACACTCATCCTTCTACTACTTTTTCCCTTCATTCAAGAAACACTCTCCATAGAGAGGTAAAGTCCCAGGGAGAAGGGTAATTAATGGATCAGGATGAGGCCAGATGTGTATCTGTGACCATTCAGAAACCTGATGGAAGGATGAGCTTCACACAGAGGGAGGTAACAAGGATCGTAATCAGGGCCCTAGAGTGCAATTCTGAGGGTCTATGAATTACACCAGACACAGTGTGGGTCAGAGATTTTCTGACAAGAGGGCTCACCTGCTTCATCAGATTTTCAAGGTCCACCTGCACCACAGGTCCGCAGAATGAAAGTGTGAACTTTCACTGCTCTGGGCACTGGGGACACGGTTACAACAGTGTATGAGAGGCAGCAAAATCTGTTGCTTAAAGGATGCTTTTAGAAAAATAACAGATAACACATCTATACCTCTTATAATAACTATTTGTAAAACTCATGGACAAAAGGCTTGTATCCTGAATATATACATATATAGTTACAATGCAATAAGAAGACAATTTAGTAAAATTGTGCAACAAATTTGAATAGGCACTCAACTGAAGAAAATACACACATGATAAACAATAATCTAAAAGTGTGTTCAGCCATCATTAGTTACTAGAGGAAAGGAAATATAAATGTCAAGGCCATACCACTCACTACAGGGCACTAAAAAGTATACAATTAAAAACCCCACTTTAGCAAGTGTTGGGAAGCAAGTCATACCCTGTTCTGGGGGGAATGTGAAATTACAGCCACCACGGAGACTGGTGTGCCAGACTCTTGAAAAGGTGAACAATCTCACAATATCCAGTCATTCCATTCCAATTTACCAAAAAGAAAAGAAAAATCATCACAGAGGCTTGCCCGTGAACAGTCAAAACTTTCCATGCTGGAAGAACACCTGAGTGGTAGATCAGTTTCCTAACTTGTGAGGCCCTGGGTTCAATTCCCAGCACCACAGAAAGGAACCAAAGCAGCTTTCCTTGTAATTGCCAAAAGTTGGAAGATACATCAATGTGCAAATAGGTGAATGGACTTACAAAGTACCGTACACCCATACCCTGGAACAGTATTCAGAGTTTATAGGAAAGAACCATTTGACAATTGCAACTAAGTATATGAATCGAGCTCCTCAAGGAGACAACAGGCCTGTCCAGTGGTTTGAATGCAAATGGGGGTAGGCGCAGAGCACTGCAAGGGAGTTAGCAAAGCTGGGAGAACTGGAGGGGCATGAGGAGGCCAGAGACTTCAGGAGCTAGGGGAACACTGCCCAGAGGAGAAAATGACAAACTTTTTGCTGGTGAAGTGGGGCAGAGTGGGAAGCACAGCCTCTTAGAGTCTGCTCAGACCCAGTTACTTCCTGCCCCCTAGGACAGCGACATGTGTCTGCCCTAACATGGAGCCATTGCTTAACACAGACCCACCTGAGGCCACTTTACCAAGCCAGCAATCCAGAAGGAGGGAACATTTTGTGCCCCTAGCTTTCCTGTTCAGTCCGATACTGGAAATGCAAGCTGGTCACATGTTGTCTCTGCAGACAGCAGAGCACCCTGGGCTCCCCATGATGGGGATGGGGGGCAGGGAAAAGCATTGTCACCACAGCAGTCCTTGTGTACATGACCAAAACCCCTAACTATTTAATTTGAGGAATTAAGCGTTAACACCAGAAAAGGTGAGTTTATCCCAAGTAACAAGCAGAGACCTGAGGAGCAGAAAGGTCTTCTAACTTCACCTTTTTGGGAAGCTCAGCCATGCAGATAGATTTTTAGAGAGAGCTGTGACAGCCTTTTAGAGGATCATAAATAAGATCAGTGTTCAGAGGGCTGTCCCCAGAGCTGCCTGAGGTTAAGCCAGGACAGTAGACAGCAAGCAGGTCTCTCCTCAGTGGGATGGGGAGAGAAATGAATGCAGGAGACATGATGACTTGCCAGGGGCCAAAGATAGTGGCTCCCTGCTCCTTCTGCCTCTCCCAAGGTTCACCAAGGACACAAAGGCGACCAGTTCTAGGGCCCCAGGCCTCATGGGTGCAAGATTCCTCTCCCGTGTCTGGCACCTTGCTTACCACTTCTACTCCATCCATTCACTGTGCCAACCTTTGTAGAGGACACCTAGCTTCTGCCTTGGTCACACTGGGAGGTCAGTGTCCAAGCTGTAGGGATAAGGAGGGCTAAGAGAACTTAGCTGAATTTCTGGTTCAACCCTTGGCTTCTGCTTGGGCACAGATCTGCACATGATCTCAAAGTCCCTGAGGACTTGAGGAACTGCAGTTGAGGAAATGCACTTAAAAACAAAACCCCTCCCAACCCAGGAAACCTCTCTACAAAGGTACCAGAGAAAGAAAACAATTTTCTTATTGCATATGCACCAGAGCAGAACGTGGGGTGCATCACAGGCCCTTCTACAGAGACGCAGATAGAAAGAAACCTGTTTTACACAGCTAAACTGAAGGATACAAACATTTCTTTGGGTAGCTTTTGAGCTTGGAGTCAGGTGAGTTCAGCCCATTCCTTCCCTGGGAGCTGGGGGACAGAGCTTTACCTTCCTTACCGTTTCCAAATTTCAAAAGGCTGAACCCCAGGCCCTGCAGAAACCATTTCTGAGTTGAGAGCCTGCCAAGAGCTCTGCAAAAAAGTTGCATCCATTTGAAAGAAAGCCTGAAAGAAAAAGATAAGGTGGGGAGAAGCATCTTCTCTCATTTTCAACAGGGAGAATTAAGCCTCTCCATTTAAATTTGCATTTTCCCCCTTCCCCTACATTTATTCCTTTTCCTGCTGCAGGATGAATGTCACATGTTTGATGGCTTCTTCAGTACAGGAGACTGAATGACCAGCTCCTCTCACCACCAAAACAAAGGAGATGGGCTCTCTAGTCACCTCTCAGAGAGGTGTGACTTGTTTGGGACCAGATTTGGATTGAGAGAGGGAGCACACTGAGAAGATGATGTGATCCAAAGGGCACTGGGTCAGGTGACAGAGTGGTGTCACTACCCTTCCCCATGACCACCTGAGCACTAAAAACAGCTGGTATCTTTACTCAGCCCACCTTCGGGGACAAGGCACACACCATCTGAACATTTGGTTCTTCCCGTTTTATAGACCTCTGAGAATTACATGGCTGTGGATTCGGGGGCTGATCTGTGAGTTCCAGGACATTTTGTGTTTTGGTGTTAATAAAGTTTACTGTCACTTCTGGCATTGACTCCAGCAATGTTTTCTGCTGTCTTTGGACCTGCAAATGCTCTCTGGCCTGTTCAACGACCCTAGATGAATAAGATGCAGAGTCCTCTGCGTGATGGGAGAGCCACCAATGGGGGAAAGAGGGTAGATACACTGACCCTAGGATTTCAGCTCCCTCAGAGAGCAGGAGGCAGTTCCCTTGGGAAAATGGGCGTAAAATCCAAGACCTGCAAGTTCACATATCAAGGGGACTCAGCAACCCGTGTCTTCAAACAGAGAAGAGCAGCTCTGCATGCGTTAAATATAAACGCAAGCACAATGTCCTGCAGGCTCATCCATGTCGTTGCAAATGGCAGGATTTCATTCTTGTCATGGCTGGGTAGCATGCTGTGTGTACAACTGCACATTCGCCCTGTGCATTCACCTGTCAGCGGCATTCAGATGCTTTCTCTACCTGGCTCTTGTGAATACTGCTCAACATGGAGTCCAGGTTCCGCCTCAGGATCCAGATTGCATTTCCTTAGGCTATATATCCAAAAGCGGATCATAAGGTCGTTCTGTTTTTAATTCTTTGAGGAGCTTTGATATTGTTTTCCATAATGGCTGCTTCCCACCAACAGCGTGTAAGGCTCCCTTTTCTCCACTTCCTGCCAACGCCCGTAATAGCTTGACTTTTTTGACTCTGGCCACCCTAACGTGTGTGAGGTGATGTCTCGCTGTGCTTTTGATTTGCATTTCTGATGTTGAGCACCTTCGCACATACCTGCTGCCATTTGTCTGTCTTTGGAAAACTGTCGTCTACTCAGGTACTTTGCCTATATTTACTTGTGTTGCTTCATTTTGTTGCTATTGTGTTATATCGGTAATTTATATATTTTTATAGTGACTTCTTATCAGATGTACGCATTGCAAACCTTTTCTCTCGTTCCCTAGGTTGCCTTTTTCGCTCTTTGGAGTTTTTTCTTTGCTGTGCAGAGGCTTTTAGTTTGGGGAAATCCCATTTGTCTACTTTTGCTTTTGTATGTTTTTAGGTTGACGTAATCTCATTTGTCCAATTTTGCCTTTGTAGCACTGTTTGCTGCAAAAAGCAGACTGAAATCAACACGGTGAGTGTAGGAAGTGCTTTGCGGTCACGTTGATGAGTTAATTTCCTGGGCCAAAGTCAGGCAGCTTTTCACTCTGCTTTCTCCAAGGAGCTTTGTGGTTTCAGCTCTTATGTTTAAGTGTTTAATCCACTGAGTTGATTTTTGCACGTGGTATGAAATAAGGATCCAATTTCATGCTTCTGCTTGTGAACATTCAGTTTTCTCAACACCATTTATTGAAGAGACTGTTTCCCCATTGTGCCTTCTTTGTGGCCTTTCAATGATAGGTTGACTACAGAGGTACAGGTTTAGTTCCGGGCTTTCTGTCCTGTTCCACCGGTCTATGTGTCTGTTTTCATGACAATGTCATACTGTTTTGACTAGTGTAGCTTTGCAGTATTCTTTCAAATCAGGACATGTGATGCCTCCAGCTTTGTTCTTCTTGCTCAATTGATTTACATAGCAGTTCTTTAACAAGAAACTCTGCACAGATGAGTGAATGTTTGAAAAAAAGAAAGGAAGAAAGAAAGAAACATTGCCAAGAAAAGCTAGAGCTCTGTGACCAATTAACTGTCTGAAGGGGGAATTACTCACAATGAGGCTGTGGACAAGAACCGAATGGATCCTTTAGTACAAGAAATGCATGAGTAGGGCGGGGGGACGATGCTCACTACAGGATCCCAGCACCTCCTGGAGCAGTGCACCCATCCCCGCTTCCATTAGAGGGGCCACCGAAGGGAGGGGTGGGGGAGAGAGCACTGTAGCAGCACAACAGCTCTGTGTTCACAGGAAAGCAGACTCTCTTGTGTGTGACACGCATCCAACGTTTCATCGTCAGTCTCTTTAAGGAGAAGGCGCCCTCCCCCCCTCAGCATAGCAAGTGGCCTTCCCAACCTTAGGCCTGTGAGTGTGGCCCACCCCCAGTCATGTGACTGTGCAAATCCCAGGGATGAAGGGGCTCCAGGGCTGTGCTCACAACCAAAAGTTGGAAGGATTTTGTGCGTGTGTGTGTGTTGCTGGGGTTTGAACTCAGGGCTTCATGCTTGCGAGGCAGGTGCCCTACTTGAGCCGCACCTCCAGCCATTTTTGCTTCAGTTATTTTGGAGACAGGGTCTCACCTTTTTGCCAGGACAGCCTGGACCACAATTCCTCTTATTTTACACTTCCCACTGCCATTGGGGTGACAAGCATGTGCTGCCACATGCAGCTTTTTTCCATTGATATGGGGTCTCGCAAACGTCTTTGCCCAGGCTGGCCTGGAGCCATGATCATCCTGATCTCAGCCTCCCAAGAAGCTGGGATTACAGGCATGGATGACCAGGGCCCATGTGGAAGCTGTGTTTTGTACACTGGATGGTCAGGAGGCTGGGAAAGGGGACATAGGTGATGTAAGACACACAGCCTCTCTGCCTGGGATGCGTGGTCAGAGCATTCTCTAGAGCAGCATTCATGCAATCTTAGAGAGGTGACAAGGTGCAGCCACTCACCCAGTCCCAGCAACAAGGTCATATCAAAGCAGGGAGTGTCCTCTTGTCCTTGTCGGCCAACCTAACTGTGCACGACAGGACACTCACTTAGAGGGGAGAGCACACGGTGTGCGACCGCCAAACTGTGATGGCGACAGGACAAGCAAGTGGGTATTCCAGAGCAGAATAGAGGGCAACTCCCACCAGGGCCTCTAGAGAGGGGTAGACGCTAGCACTTTCCCTGTCAGCCAAGGTCCAGTGGACAGCAACCCTCTCCAGTGCAGGGCTGGGAGCAGCAGCAGGAGACAGAAGGTTCCAGCCAGCTACCCATCTTTTGAACAGAGGCTTGAGAGAGCGGCAAGCTGTTGTTTGTCTTGATCTGATACTAGGTTGGAAAGCAAGGGCAGGTGCCGTTCTCCATATCTGGATTGTTCTCAGCACCATGGCCAGACACACCCTTTAAAAATCCAGCTTGTTAGAACAAGACTCTCCTGGATCTGTCCTCATGGTGAGTTTGGGTTTGGGTCAAGACTCATTCTTTAAAATATTTGCTGACACATAAAGTTTCACCCTTGGGCCTCTTGCGCAGGCAAACCTCTCTCCTGGCCCTCCACTGGACAAGCCTTCGCCTGCCCCTGTTGGACTGACAGCTCACAGCAGAAGCACAATGGCACACCCAGCCTTCTGCACTTTCTCCTGGGGTGGCTCAGACGGAGAGCGGGTATCTGGTGAATGACTGGGTCATCCAGGACCGATCCAGCCACAGTTTCCAGCTGCCCAGGGCAGAGCAGCACAGACTTCACCTTCCCCCTGGGCCTGGTGCTTGAGTGGGAAAACAGGATGCTCCTCTCTTCCCAGCAGGCCTGTTGGCTCTGACCCTGGACCTTCTCCTTGCATAAGGACGCCCTGGCCTTGTGAGGATATTGGATGCTGCCCACACATGAATGTACCCAACCTTGTCATCTCACAATGCAGCCATCTCCCTTTCCTCGCAGGGAAAGCAGGGGGTGACAAGGGCCCCAGGTGTGGAGAGCAACCAAAGGAGTGCAGTCACCTGCACTATGCTCCAAATGTCACCCAAATGGAGAGCTGACATTGAGTCCCCGGAGCAAGTGGCCAGACCTCAGGGATTCAGGGGACCAATCAGGGCTACAACTTGTTCCTTGGGCCTGAGACTGGGAAACAGTCTCCCTGCAGGTTGCACCTGACCAGCCTTCCTCTTCCTGTCATGCTGATAGTGGCCTGCACCAGTCACACACCCTGGCCACACACCAGTCACTGTTTTCCACTCAGCCACCTAGAACCAGGCTAGACCCTGAGTCCTCTCCCAGTTCTGAAGAACAGTTCCTGAGGCTCCAAGACCAGACTGACCCATGTCCTGCCACCAAGGTCACATCAGAAGACTACTGTTGTGACTGACGTGTCAGCACTCCCTCTCCCTGGCCACCAGAGTCCATCTGTAGCAACCCAGACCACTCTTCCACTAGCAATACCATTGCCCACAGAAATCAGGGGACCCTTCCCCCACATTTGCATGCCCTCCCCCACAGACATGCTGACTCATGCTCCATGTCCCCAGTGACTGGAAGTCAACAGTGCTCCAGAACAGGCTTCAGGACACCGTGAAAACGGGCTCCCAACCTATCTCTTGACTCCTCTCCACAGTCACCCTGAGGTGGGACCTGGGCACAGATTCCCCGGTGGGCCACTTAAAGGAGGAAGTCTCAGGGCACTCCAAGGGTTGTTAGAAGGCTCAACCAGAAGGCAGGTGACACTCCCACCACCAAGGAAATGGTTTGGGGTATTGGGTGGAATGGTCACCTCCAGGGCAACGTTAAATCAGAAGAACCTGACTGCCCAGACCAGCAGAGCTGCAAGATGGCCTCCCTGTTCCCAGAGGCCTGGGCCCAAGTTTCTTTGTTCAAATAACACACATTAAAAAGAGAGGTCAGGGCACCCAGAGGACATAAAGATAGGACTGGCAGGAAACTCCATTCAAAGTGTGTGGCACAAAATTCCGAGGATGTTTACAGGGGAGCAGCACAGCCCGTGTGAGCACATGTGAGCACAGCCGCTCTTCAGGCAGGTGTTCCAGCCGCAGTGTGGCATCTCCCATGCTTCTGTTCCCTTCCACTCCAGGCTTTTGCCTCTGGGAGCTCAGAGGCTGGCTGGGGTTCAGCTGCAATGCTGGGATCACTTTTCCCTGACGTCAAAATAAATAAAATGTCAGACCACCTCGGGAATTGCAGCAAAATGAAATAAAAACAGAGGCTCTGCAGCTTCACGCTGGCTCCTGCTTCCCTCCCTCCCTCCCCAGGCCCTGTCAAAGCCTGGGGCACAGCAATGACTGTCTCTAGCTGAAGGCCTCAGCAGCATCCTCCCTTGAGCCTTCAGCTGTAGTTCAAGGAGTCGCCA